TGGAGGCTCGTAACATTGTACAGGAGCATCAACAAAAACCACCCCAAAGAAAAGGATATGCAAGAAACGAAGTGGCTGTAAAATGAGGCCTTACAAATAGCAGAGAAGAGAAGGGAAACAAAATGCAAGGGAGATAGGGAAAGTTACAGAACATTGAATGCAGACTTCCAAAGAATAGCAAGGAGAGACAAGAGGGCCTTCTTAAATGAACAGTGCAAAGATATAGAGGAAAATAATAGGAAGGGAAAAATCAGAGATCTGTTCAATAAAATTGGAGATATGAAAGGAACATTTTATGCAAAGATGGACGTGATAAAGGACAAAAATGGTAGGGACCTCACAGAAGCAGAAGACATCAAGAAGATGATGGCAAGAATACACAGAGGAATTCTACCAAAAAGATCTGGATGTCCCGGACAACCCACATAGTGTGGTTGCTGACCTTGAGCCAGTCATCCTGGAGTCAAGTGGGCCTTAGAAAGCCTGGCTAACAACAAGGCCAGTGGAGGCGACGGCATTCCAGTTGAACTATTTAAAATCTTAAAAGAAGACGCTGTTAAGGTGCTACACTCACTATGCCAGCAAGTTTGGAAAACTCAGCAGTGGCCAGAGGATTGGAAAAGATCAGTTTACATCCCAATCCCAAAGAAGGTCAGTGCCAAAGAATGCTCCAACTACCGTATGATTGCACTCATTTCACACGCTAGCAAGGCTATGCTCAAAATCCTACAAGGTAAGTAAGCTTCTTCAGCATGTGGACTGAGAACTCCCAGAAGTACAAGCTGGATTTTGAAGGGACAGAGGAACTAGAGACCAAATTGCAAATAAAAGGGCAAGATATGGAGGCAGTGACAGATTTTACTTTGTTGGGCTTCGTGATTACTGCAGATAGTGACAGCAGCCACAAAATTAAAAGATGCCTGCTTCTTGGGAGGAAAGTTACGACTAACCTAGACAGCATCTTAAAAAGCAGACATCACCTTGCCGACAAAGGGCCACATAGTCAAAGCTATGGCTTTTCCAGTAGCGATGTATGGAAGTGAGAGCTGGACCATAAAGAAGGCTGACCGCTGAAGAATTAATGCTTTTGAATTGTGGTGCTGGAGGAGCCTCTTGAGAGTCCCCTGGACTGCAAAGGGAACAAACCTATCCATTTTGAAGGAAATCAACCCTGAGTGCTCACTGGAAGGACAGATCCTGAAGCTGAGGCTCCAATACTTCGGCCATCTCATGAGAAGAGAAGGCTCCCTGGAAAAGACCCTGATGTTAGGAAAGAGTGAAGGGAAGAGGAGAAGGGAACGACAGAGGCCCAGATGGTTGGACAGTGTCAGTGAAGCGACCAACATGAATTTGACTCAGCTCCAGGAGGCAGGGAAAGACAGGAGGGCCTAGCGCGCTCTGGTCCATGGGATCACAAAGAGCCAGACATGGCTTAATGACTGAACAACAACAACAAAAGCTGTTGCTGTTTTGTGAACAGGAAGGTACACCTGTATGTGCTGAGAGGCATTTGTAGTGAATCTTGCAGGCTTTTAGGTGTTGAGTTCAATTATTTAGGCCAGACAACTTGACAGTAACGTTTCACCAATTTGTGAGAAGCTGAAGTCACATTTTTGGAAACAAAAAAGAAACTCACCTGACTTATTACCACATCACTGATCTCACCACCAACATTGTCAAAATATATGTCCACTCCGGCTGGGCAAAGTTCACGTAGCCGTAGCGCCACATTCTCTTTCTTATAGTTGATAGCAGCATCAAATCTCATTTCTGAGACTAAAATGGTGCACTTTTCATCTGTGCCACAAACACCAACAACTTTGGAACAGCCTTCCAGCAAACCAATCTTTAGAATCATAAAAACATCATATGTGGTCAGTGTTTAGCACCATTCAATAACTTGTCTTACTGGTATTAAAGAAAAATCTCATTCTCCCTCACAGCTTTTTAAAAACCTTTGCCCATGCATTCCTAACCCACTCTCCACCCGCAAATACAGCTGTTACCTGTGGTGGGGGAGAGAATCCACAATCACTAAGGAAATTTCATCCTACTGCTTCCTAATAGCAGGCACAGTGAATGATTCCAATCAGGACCATGATGGTGGGAGGGGGAAAGTAACTCACCCACCCATATACAGATATATTGCGGGGGAAAGTAACTCACCCACCCATATACAAACATTGTCCACACCCATAATGGCCATTTCTCAAAATTCCCTGCATTTCCATGAGCATTTTACCTTGCCATTATATGTCACTCAGCAAGGAGGATTTAAATCAGTGTCCTTAATAACACTCACCCAACACATCACAGCAAGTGTCCAACACGCCTTTTTTAACAAGTGTGACATGTCATAGATATCCTCGAAACCACGGGGTGGGCAGGGGAAAGGAATTACCCCATACCTCCCAAGCCCTGTGCTTCCAACATTCAAAGGAAGCTTGGGGCCGTCTTCTGATTTCCCGCTTGCTGGGTGCTCAGAGCAGACGGCATGGTCCTAGCAACCATTAGTTTTTTGCATCCGCTTTTATGTGAGAAGGGGAACAAGGAAGTTGACACCCCTGTCAGAATGCCACAGAACCACCAGAGATAATAACCCCCCCAGCTCCCTTGCAGAGTTGGGAAAGATCCCAATTGGATTTGATTCCCCGGAAAGACCAGACAGCCCAGGAATGCCTGAAACCTGGGAAGAGACGAGAGGAGGAGACGGAGAAGAAAGAGATAAAAGGAGAGGGAAAGACATTAGAAGGAGAGATCTGAGGGCACACCATGGGAAGAGTCTTGCTTAGGAGAGGGGGCAAGTATTGTAGAGACTAACCATTCTGAGGAGTGGGAGTTGATCGTAAAAGGAGACCTGTGGACTGGGGGGGGGGTAACCCAGCTTACGGTTCCCTGGGAGGAAGCTGAGTGACAAAAAGAGACAAAAGCCTTCACCAAAACCACCCTATTGGGGAGTGAGGGAGAGACAGGAGTGTCAACATAGAGCATGGGAACAAGGACCGGGTGCTGCTTCATGTTTTGTGGAGGGTCTGTGAAACCCCCTCCCTGAGAGTGGCACCCTGACACCTCCTTCTGAGGGAGTAAAGAGGGAAGCAAAGAGAAAGTGGGATGTCAAGCAGGGTGGGTGGTGGGCTGTACACCCCTGCTGTAATACTCCTTGCACAGCCAGACATAATCCTCAATCCTGGTAAGCCAAAGAATATCTGACTGGGACAACGCTGGGAAGTTAGACTGGAAAGAGTGGACTGTTGAGGATGGTGGTGTTAAACCAATAAGCCAACCCTTGCAAGTTATTGTTGAAAAGTTCCCTTCCAAGTCAATAAACGCCATTGATTTGTATCTCTTTTTTTTTTTCTATAAAGGGAAGAAAACCACCCCGGGGCAAATCAGCAGGGATCACACCGTAGACCTTGACAGGATATGGGGATCTTTGGGTATAAAACCAGAAATGATGTCAGTGGCATGTTGGGGAAATAGAGGAGATAACTATCGGTTGCACGTCCTAAACCTCAGGCTCGTTTTTTGCCTGTTACTCCAGCAGTACAATTTACTTATTTGTTTGTTTCAAATATCTTTACCCCACCTTTCTCCTTAAAAGGACCCAAGGCAGCTTTTTTTTTTATTTTATTTTTTAAAAATTTCCAAAACAAATACAAGAATACCAAATACTGTCCATTAGCATCGACAGAGTTCCTACTCCAGTCCAGAAAGGAAAAAAGGTGTTAAGGGGCGTCAGGGATTATCTGATGTTCAAAACTCACCTAGTCAAATTATCCATTTGTCTTCCCTTTATAAAGCCACATTGATCCTCTTTAATATAATTTGCTATAAATCTATTTGCTAATATAGCAGTAAAAATCTTAGCATCTTGATTTATTAGACATGTAGGTCTATAAGATCCTGGATCTGTTAGAACCTTGTTGGGTTTTGGAATAAGAATCATTAATGAGTGTTTCCAAGAAGGTGGCATTGTCTCTACTTCCAATATTTCATTATAAAACTTTTTTAGCTTAGATATCAAAATGGAACTAAGATGTTTATAATATTCTGGACCCAATCCATCAGGGCCTGGTGCTTTACCATTTCTCAGTTTATTAATGACTTCAGCAGCTTACATTATTAAAAAACAATGTTAAAGCTAACAACAGCAAGTACTGTATACAAATACTAAAAAGGATCAAACAATTCCCATACAAAAATCAAAAGCAACACTAAAACACATGCACAGCAGTAAGATGCAACAATCCACTTAGGTCACCAACCACTCAGAGAAAGCCTGCCTCAAGAGGGAGATCTTTGCCTACTTATGGAAGGACAGCAAAATGGGGTCAGCCCTGAAGGTGGTGGGACTGAGAGGAAGGCCTGTCTTGATGATCTTAGCACCTGAGTAGGCTCATAAAGGGAGATGTGGTCCCTGAGAGAGCTTGGGCCCAAGCCATTTATATTGTGTCGGGGGTAATATGAGAAGTCTGGGACCAATAAGGAGGAGTCCCTGTTGCAACTCTTCCCTGCATTGGCACAGCCCCCATTGCTCAAAGCAGACCTTGGCACAGAAAGCGGTTCTGGCATAGGCTACTTCGACACAGTCCAAAGCATCTCATACTCACCCCAGTGGCACAGAAGGTGGCTGGCTTTGAGGGGCCACTAAGGTCACAAGAATTCCAGCTTGCAGATATAGAGTCATTGATTGTTTTACCTGCAGAAGCTCAAGTGGCTCATGTCAGAAGGCAAGCCTAAAATGCAAAGGCTAGTCTTAAAGCTGCTTACCTGCCCTGCCAATGAGCCACAGGCACCAGCAGCTCCGCTGACAACCAGGGTCTGGTTAGCACTGGGATGCACATGTCCTTTTTCTCGTATTCCCAGCAGAGCAGTCAGCCCAGTCAAGCCAGCTGCACCCAGGAAGTAGGAAAGATGACCGTCAACAAGCTGTGGATCAACCTGAAGGCAGACACATGGTGTACAAAACAGCTGCACAGAGTTTGGACAAGCTCATTTTCTAGACCACAGTGCTCAGTAGACGGGTGCATTTAGAATACCAAGCACAGCAACCCAGGTGCCTCAGTGGTGCATTCCTGCCCCTTAGAACCAGTTTGTTCCACTCACCAGGCTCCACGCAGTGTGAGTGTCCATCAGCATCATCGTCGTGCTAATCGCAGAAGCAGTCCCACCAGCACTTCCCTGACTCTCCCCACAGTCGATTAATCCAACAAGGAGGCGGGAAGACAAGTCTCCCCCCTCAGCTGCTGGGTGGTCGGCTGTGGGGAGGGGGCAGGGAAGCCCTGACAGGACTACTTCCACAACTGACATGATGTTGATGCTGATGGACATGCATGAGTGGACCAGGCTGGTTCTAGGGGGCAGGAATGGACCACCTTGGCACCTGTGGTGCCGTGCTTCATACTCATATCAAGGGCAAGTGCTCATATCTAGTTCCCAGTAAAGCTCCAATCAAAATACTGGCCACAGTGACTGAGGAATTCTAGAAATCAGAGTTTGGAAAAGAGAAAATAAATAAACTTGGCCAACATCTGTGTCACCCCAGGCAGGATGTCCTCAGATTCTTTGCCTGCTCAATACCTTTTATATACCATCAAGCAGATTCATGCACTGTGGAATGTTAAACGTCTACTAAACAGTCTCTTGTTTCAGCCTTCCCTTGTTACCACTATTTTGTTTCAAAAGATCCAGTTTCTCATTTTTGAAAGCCTACATTAATAGTTCTCTTCGAATTGATAAGCATTTATTATCAGAAACAGGGCCAGTTCAAAACGTATCACCACTTGAGGCAAAGAAGAAAACAGTGTCCCCCGCCTCCCAACTAAAGAGACACAATACACAACAAAAACAAAACAAAACTCGTTTCAAACAAACCCGTTTAACACCTCCTCTCTATTCTTGACCATAATATAAAATCTTCCCTTGACTCCAGAAATCCAACCTCCTGCCTTTTCCTGACATTGCAAATTTGCTGCCTGACATAGCTGCTGCCTCGTCGTGGAGAATAACTGGTTTGCAGGTATCTCTGAGGTGGCGACAGTGAACATACAGTCCTCCAGACAATGCTGGATTGCAACTCACAGTTGTCTATGCTTGCTAGGCATAATCGAGTTTATCAGTCAAAAACACTTGGAGGGCTACAGTGGCCCACCACTGGCCTACACAGTGCTGACTTAAATGGAACAATGGGCTGACTTGGAATAAAACAGCTTCCTATCTCATTATAAACCATCTATGTCCCTGTCCCCCACTCTGGTGTGACATGCGATAATTAATTGAGACTTTCTGTTCATATAAAACAGTGCTACCTTCTCAAGATGCTTTCCATCCAAAATGGCCTTTGTCTGCCAGGGCCAGTTAAAGGAAGTGACAAAATCTCCTTCCACAAAACGTTCATCTTTGCTTTCTTCCACGGAACCAACACCTCCACCATCAGTGACTTCTGACAACTTCCATGCTTGAAGGTAGTCAGAACCAGTATTTTCATTCATACGACATCTCTGAAAAATATCATTTTGTAGTGAGAAACAAAACAATGTATAATTATTCTGAAGATCTGCCAATGGCAGGTCTCACTTTCAGAAATGTTTGTTACTCATTTCTCCTCACAATAGTCATACTTTAATTATTTTTTTCCTCAACAACATTGTATATACACAACTACCTTCTTGCCCATGCATATTTTATTACAGCACTGAAAACATCCCTACTCTTGTCATAACTTTGAGTTTCATAGGATAGTTCAAATTCAGAAGGGGCTGCTGAGATTACCAGATCTCAGGACCACAGGTCTTCATCAACAGCGATCACCTAGGCCAAACATCCAGGGTCTTAGATCATTGCCAAAAACAACTGCCAAGGCATCCGCCGAAGTTCTGAGTCAATAATCTAATTGATGTGGACTTGGTTCCGTTTGCACCGAGAACTACCATTGGCCAACTGTTCTTCAGGAGCTCTGCAGATGTTTGCTGCAAGCTTGCAGCTCTTACCATATAGGGGTCCACAGAGAGATACAGCGTACGAACTCTGACTTGACCCTCGGCAATTTCATCTGGGAGATTAGCCTCCTCCATACGGAAGTTTTCTGCAACTGGCACGCCATTGACACCTACAGTGAGTAAGACGACAGGTTTAACTGCAAAATGGTTTCTCTCTCAGCCCAAGATTACAGTAGCTGCATCAGGATTTTCCATCAGCTAACACTAAAGCTCAGATGACTCAAACCAGAACAGAAGCTGAAGTCGTGCAAAAGTACAGAGTTTCTTCACCATCTCCTTTCAGGAAGTAATTTATCCTGGATCTGATCCCATCCCACTCCCATTCAGTTCCTCTTTATGCTTCATTTCCTGGCTCCTCCCACTCCTTAGCCTGCTCCTTGAGCTCAGCACCATCCTCACCCATCCTGTTGCTAGCCCTGAAGGGCAGTTTCTCCTTGCAATCTTCTGCTTCCTTGAGTCACCTCCCTCTTTGATACCGACACAAGAAAGCTGCCGTTTACTCACTCTGAACTGGGGTTGAGTCTGCCTGAATTCCTCAGTACAGGGCCACGAGTTCAAGATTCCATATAGGAATATATCCACTCTACATATTAAGCATTCCATTTGAAATTTTTAAACTTTCCTTTAACTCCAGAAATGTGTCATTCTATTTAGTGAGTTCTATTTAGCTACACACTCAAACATATGCATAGACCTCTGCCGTCTTAGTTCCCCCAGAATGTCTCTAGGCCCCAAAGTACTTGAGGAGAGAAAACACAGCAGCTATAATCACTCAGCGTGCTCATCTCCTCCCAGTACTGAGCCCTTGGGATTTTTTTCTTAAATCACAGTAAAGGTGTGTTAGCAACAACCCTCCCCTTCAGGCTCTGGTTTATAGGTGAGATTACAGATTTCATTTATCCAACTACACTGGTGCCAGGTCTGACAAATGTCTAAATATGTTGATTTTCAAAATATTTCTGGCGGGGTTGGGGGGGAGGGAGAGGACATCACAAGTAAATGGAATTAGGATTTGGGCTTGAAAATTCTTTAAAGTTATCACACAATACCATCAACAATATGATGGGAAGGCTGCAAGTAAGAAAGAGCAAAAAACAATGTGTCAAATAAATATGAATAAAACAAATGTAGATAGTTGGGAAAAGGTAAAGATCAGCTTTAGAGCACAGCTGTCCAGATTCTTTATAAATGTGACAGGAAAAATGAAGTAACAACTGGTCTGAGGGAAGCACGTAGTTATCTTAAGAGTTCATACTTTAACATTAAGAACTAGTTCTTTAAGCTTTTATGTTTTATAAACCACCCACAGTAGTGGCTCGCCACTATATGGGCAGTAAATAACACAACACATAACTACATTGCTATGAATCACAAACTGAACTCCAGATCACACAACTTGCAACATATACCCCTGCTTTTGATGGTATCCTTATGTCACAAATTATACCACTATAACCAGGGCTACTGTTGGTTACATATTTTTGCTCTTATAGAAACTTCACCAATGCATCTGGTATAAGAGGTTATCTGTTTTATATGTGATGCTAAAGATCCACATAAAATGTTTCACTGCAAATGTTTTAGCACTAGAGTTGAAGGCTCTCTGCAGAAATCTTGCTCCTTGGTATATTTTCCCTTCTTATCTGTTATGCCGAAACACCAAACTCATTGCTGTTCTCTGACAAGTAGAAACATACCAGGGCGTGAATTCAGCACCACTCTTTGTATAATCATCAGCCCTCCAGCAGAAATCCTGCTCAGGTTGAAATCTGTTTTCCTGTAGAGCAGAAATATTCAACATGAGCAAGGTTACAAGCTTTTTGTTTTAGGGTAATAATTAAGTGCAATGAGAGGATCTTAATATAAGAAGTCAAAGGGAAGGGAATTAAGTGTTTATCATGATCTGAAAGCTGCAACACACTGAAAACTGTAGGTGATGAAACTACATATAGCTAAAAAAATCAGAAATTTTATGTAACAAATCTAGCAAATCAGCTTTTTCTTTTCTTTTCTTTTTTGCACAGCCTAGCATTTGCAAGTATGTTGATTGTAAACACGTTAGCAGACACAGAAGGTGAAGAACAGATTGGAAAAGCACAAAGTGTCAAAGAAAAAAGAATAACAGCTACAAGTGTTAAAATATGTAAGAACCACGTGAATTAAAAAAGGCTTGTTAAAAATAACTCCAATCTAAGTACCAGCACTTAGGTAGGAAGCAAAGGCTCAGTTGCCTCCATGTTGAAAAGCATCTGTAATTTGCCCCTTCTATTACACAGCTGGAATAGATTAATTGCCATATACCAGCACTTCAGCCTTTACCAACCTACTACACTCCAGATGAACTACAATGCCGAGGAAAGCTATCCTCTATACAAAGCTTTCTGCTATCTGTTTTGTGGTGGCTATGTTAGGAACAAGATTAGCTGGGGAAAGAACTTCAAGCATAAATACCATAAATCCCTTTTATCATAACTGTACTCACAAAGAAATAAAATTGGTGCACCTCTTCTATAGACTCCTATGATCAAGAATAATTTCATTAAACTCACTGTATAATTTGCAAGCTAATCTGCTCTTGTTGTGCAGTGCTGGAGATTTTTGTTCTAGAGAATCTTGTTAAAAACAAAACCTAGTTCTCTCAAACTTTCTGACATTTGGTAATCTATTTATACAGTGGGGTCTTGACTTGAGAACTTAATCCGTATTGGAAGGGGGTTCTCAAGCCAAAAAGTCTGTAGGTCAAGTCTCCATTGACCTACAGTGCATTGAAAACCGATTAATCCCGTAACAGGCCATTTTTGTTCCATTTTGGTTTTTTTCTGGTCTGTAAGTCAATTCTCAGGCTGCAAGTCAAACCTAAATTTTGCGGCCAGAGAAGTCTGTAACTCAAAAAGTCTGTAAGTCAAGCTGTCTGTAAGTCAAGGGTCCACTGTATATATTTGATGATCAGGAGACAATGGTCTAGGTCTGCCATTCTCAACAGAGGCCGTATGGCCCTCTGGGGGATCCTGGTACATTTGAAGGTGGCCACGGACTGGAAACAATTTTTCACATGCCACCTTATAAAGTTTGTTGTGTAACCTATACAATTCTGATTTGGTCTGAATTTCTTTGATATTATGTTTATGACTGTGACAAAAATAATAGCTGATAATAGCTGGTCTAGGTCTTCAGTTTTGAAGTAAATCATCACATGTTGTCAAGAAAATTCTGACTTACAGCAACCCTTTCTAGGGGTTTGGAAGGTATTATATAGACCAGTGGTTCCCAACCTTGGGCTTCCAGATGTTCTTGGACTTCAACTCTCAGAAATCCTGGTCAGCAGAGGTGGTGGTGAAGGCTTCTGGGAGTTGTAGTCCAAGAACATTTGGAAGCCCAAGGTTGAGGACTACTGGTATGGACAAGTGATTTACCTGTCCCTTCCTCTAGGGGCACTCTGGGACAGTGTACACTCCCCCAGGAGGCACAGCAGGGCATCAAACTCCCAACTCCTGGCTCAGCAGTTAGATCCTCCTTTTCACTGATCCACCCCCCCCCCAGCTCTTTGGTTTTTAAGAAAGATAAATTCGATTTACCTACAAGGCTGCACAACATGCAACTCCTTCCAAATGTTTACAATACCAACCGCTAGTATTCCAGTTACCTCTAGCAGAGCAGAGATGTCTGGAAAGCCACTCTCTAGCACATTAGTAACGAAGCATTTAGACCATCCAAACACTGAAAGCAATATGCTGTTACATAAGGAACAGGCATTCACCTTCAGATTATGAAAGTTCTATTTGTGCAGCAACAGGATGCCAAAATTAGAGCTGCACCATATGCATGCTAGACATTACATCAAGTAAATAATATAAATTATACATAGTTGTTATAAGTCTGCCTTAAAAGAAATGCACAGGATAAATGATCGTGGTACTGACACTTTTTGTAGAAGAGCTGTGAGATGCTCCCATGTGTTTGTTTAAGCTATCATTTTGCTGAATTGAATGGCTAGTCATTACTTTCAGCCAAGGTGAGATGTACAAGAGAATTCATTGCATCCCAAATAAGACTTTTAATGCAATATGTGTATAGATGAACATGAGTATCAGAAAAGATGTTCTTTCTTTCTTTCTTTCTTTCTTTCGAAAATTCACAGCCTACCCTTTGTGGTAAATTCTGTCAAGGTGACATAGCACATAACAAAACAACAAAAGCAATTACAAAATCAGAAGTTATACTTTAAAACAGACATTGCATAAGACACACAATAGCTCCAGTGGAGCCCTAACCTAAATACAGGCCAAGTGAGTTTAAGGCTTGCTTGAAGACCTGTAACAATGGGACCTCGAGACTGTCAGCTGACACAGAAGTCCCCCAAAAAAGGGAAATATTGAGAAGCCTTATCAATATCCCAGTTGCATTTGCAAGAAGGGCCTCCAATACTGATTGGTCTTGAGAGTATAGATTGGTTTTAAAGATGGATCCAAACAGTTTACAGCAAGGGGAGGAGGCCAATCATAGCTGCCCAGTGGTAGCTAATGACTATTAGGTCTCATTCCTACATAGGAAGGAGCAGCCAAAGGTGGGAAGTCAGGATTGAGTCAGTCTGCTGCTGCTTCTGTCTTCTCCATCCCACCTCTCTTTTCTCACAAACTCACACTGAGAGTGCAGTGAGGCTGGGAGTTGAACAGGAAGAAAACACAGGCACCTCTGGCTGCCCCAACCTGCCAAATATTGCTGGAATACTGTATTATCAACATTACTCTTACATTTAACTCCCCCTTTCCAGTTCAGCCTCATGTGGCTTCTAAAGTATTCTCGAAGGCTTTCACAGAGAGTGGCGGCCAACCACAGAGACTGGCGAAATGTTAGGAAGAAAAACCTCCAGAACATGGCCAAACAGCCTAAAAACCTACAACAACCAGTGGCTTCTAAACATTGAAAGAATGAAAACGGATAAAATCATAATTATCTAAAAAAAATCACAACATCATATAACCAATCCAGCTGTACAACTACCGTCTGCACAGGTAATAATGAGAGGTGATAGGATTTAAGAGACCAACCTCATCTGGAAGATAGTAAGTTGCCTAGTTTGCAGTTTTAAAATCCAATAGCAGAAGCTTATATCATGCCCAAAAGCATCTATAGAGCACAGGCACACATGATTCAACCACAAAGCACATGCCAATTCATAAAGGCCACATTTTGTATCAACAAAAGTCCCAAAGGCCAGGCTTCTTCGAACTTCACACCGGACCTTCATAACAATGTTATTGTATTCTCAATTAATATGCCAAGCCAAGTGAGCAGGAAAGAACCAAGGCATAAAAAAGGATTTCCAAGAAAACGCAACCGACTTTGGTTCTAGAGAAAACTTTCCATCCACCTTCAGAGGATTTATGGGATCTTAAGCAGGTGTGACGTTGGCTGTTCTGCTACCCATGCCACTGTGTCCATCTAGGCTCTGGTGAGCTACACTGCAGGGCCAAGGAAGGCGTCAATAATAAGCCTTGAGGGAACGTATTTCTGCTGGACCAACCTCCACAGTTCAAAGCCTGGAAAAGTTCCATTTTTGGACTACAAGTCCCAGGTTCCTACCCTGCCAGCATGATAATTTCAGAAACATTCTGGGAGATACAATCCCAACAAGTAACTTCTCAAAGCCCTTCCCCCGCTTGCCTTCATCCCCCTCCAGACGCTCTTTCCCCATTGATTTTTAAAGCAGATTTTTCATAATACAGTACAAGTACTGTAATGTCAGGGAAGTCCCATCCAGCCTTGCAATCCACTTTCCAGATTTTCCTCATGTATAAAAACTGGGCTCTCATCTTGCAACATTCGTCTTTGCCTTCTTTAGTCTGCCGGGCATTTTCCCTACCCTCGCGGCTGCCCACGGACCCGCTCAGGCTGCTCGGAAATTGTGCTTTTCCCCCACCTCAAAGTGAGGGACAGCCGTAGAAGGGGGCAACCAAAACCAACGGGAATTTTATGTCGCCTCTTCTCCCCACCCCCACCCCCATTTCTGTTCTTTTAATGGCTGCACCACTGGAGAAACTTTAGCAGACAAAAAGCTTCACCGGTGGAATTTCCACCCATCACTCACCTAGATGGGTAATACAGCTCTTGCCACCTGAAACCCTGCTTTTTCAGGCGGGGAAACGGATCGGAGTCTGGCACGCCTTGCCTGAAATGCGTGTCTTACCCCACTCACGCCGGCAGACTAGGAAAGGCTCTTTTCATCCGCTGTAATGGAAATTTGCTGATTTTACCTGACCAATATTTGCCCAGGCCCGAGTCTTTCGCGTCCTTGCAGCTTTGGAGTCCGTAAGTCAAAAGTTTACTCAAGACGACTCCCTTCTGCATGTGCTAAAGCGGCCTCTTAAAAGGGCAACTCGAGAAGAAGTGGGGCCACTTTAAAGGGTAAGGTAAAGTAAATTTCCCGGGTATGTTGTGTTCTGTCAAGTCAGAACCAATTTATAGCGCCCCTAAACATATTTTCCAGTAAGTGAAATTAAAGAATTGCATTGCCAGTACCGCGCCCCTCCTATGAGCTTCCATTGACGAGTGAGGAATCGAACCCAGGTCTCCTCAGTCCTAGGTCGCAACTCTATCCACTTAATCTATCCAGTTTAAAATATCTAACCTCCGAAGTAAGCCCCATATTGGAAGATCACTTTCAGGAAGTGAGCACACCTACAAGTGCAGACTTTCATTCCTTTAAAACAGTGACGTTGTTGTTGCTGAAAAACACCAGGCACAGTCAATCAAAACTATAAAAATATTGACTGGTATTATATAACAGATCGAAGTTTTAACCAAAAACCTAAGTATCTGTTAAATATCAGCGCAGTATGCATGCTGTTCCTAATATCACAGGTTTTTGTAGCTCTGATTGTGTGATTTCTGAGATCTGCAACTGCTTATAATACAGTACTGTGTGAGTTGTTGTTGTTGTTGTTGTTGTTATAGCTGCATATTTTGGCACCCCTTGGTGAAAATAATCCCTGAGGGATTAGTACTCATCCATTTAACTAGCTGAATAAGGAACACAAGGAAAAATCCACTATTTTTGTTTCCTGATGTGTAAAATGTCTTCTGTACATTGAGGCTGTCCTACTTTGGGCACCTCATGAGAAGCCAAGATTCGCTGCAAAAGACAATAATGCTGGGAAAGGTGGAGGGCAGTAGGAAAGGAGGAAGACCAAATACGAGATTGACTGACTCCCTAAAGAAAGTACAGGATTGAGTTTACAAGAGCTGAGTAAGGCTGTTGAGGACAGGACATGCTGAAAGTCTCCCATGCATAGGGTTGCCCTAAGTCAGAGGCAACTTGACACCACATAACAACATGCCCAGTGGCATTCTTTTTTTATTTAGTTACTAACTACTCGTTTTGGCATCAGAAGAGATTCCAAGGCTGAAAACAGGTTGGTGTGAATTGAACTAAGTCTTGAGCTTTAGTTGTACGAACTTCAGTAAAAAGAAGAGTGAATGCGTTCATTAGTTCAAAAATATAAATTATAAGAATTGTGCATTTTAAATAATTCTAAACACTTATTTAAGGCATCACCTACATTGACTGGTCCTTATCCAATCTTCCATTAATCAAATTCATAGGCATCTCTCCTCAACATATTGTTTCCAGTACTGACTAACAGAAAGGTCATAATTGGATTGGATCAGTACTGTATCTTTTGGGCCTGCCAAACTAAGTTACTTTTTGCTACAACTCCCAGAATCCCCTGTTGGACAAGCTGACTGGGGAATTCTGGGTGCTATTGAGTGCCAAGCAGCAGGGAATGGTAATGAAAACTAGAAACCCTTTTTTTGTAGTTTTTAATCTTTAAAATGGATTTGGATAAGACATCTCTTCAAAGAACAGGCATTCTCAAATAGCAGGACTGTCTTCCATCAAATGCGAGTCACCACTGCCTACCTTCAGGCTGACTGTGATCAGCACCAGTAAAAACATAGAAGAGGCCTTCACACCAGTTCCTTTTGCCACCGACTATGAAATGCATTGTAAATTTCATAATTTATCTATGTAATTTTCTTTCCCAAATTTGTAGAAATTGTACAGTCAAAGAATCATATAATAATTGAGTTTGAAGGGTCCTATGAGGCTATCTAGTCCAACTCCCTGCTCAGTACAAGAATCCAAATGTCTAGGGTGCTTCATTTTCACTTTAAAGAATGCTACTTCCACAGGTTCAAGGACAGCAAAAGTCATAGCAGGTCTTTAAAACCTCCCCTGGAATATCAAAAGCAGGCTACATTACCATTACAGTTACAATGGGAAAGTCTTCTTGGCATCATTTGCTTTTATATACTGTATTTTTAGAATATATGCCCCTTCATGGATTGCTGCCTTGTCATGGCGAAGGGGCTTGAGTAATTCAGAGAAGCCATGGGCTATGCCATACAGGGACACCCAAGACGGACAGGTCATAGTGGAGAGTTCTCCTTCCTGTCCTCTGTGAACACACACTAATGGGTTAATCTGCGGCTGAGCAGAGCAGTCTTCGGTAACTTCCACAGCTTAAGCACTTAGTGCTGGGAGCTCCCCTACACCTGGTTATATAACTCCGCCTCCGGCCCAGTGCTTCAGTTCTTTTTCCGACCACCACCGCTGTAGCAGCAGCTTCCTTGGAACTTCGCAAGTAGAAACAAATCTTTTTCTTGCCTTTTTCTTTCCTTTGTTATTTACTTGTAACAATTTTTTCTTTTGCCTGGGGGATACAATACTAGCCGGTATTGGTGGTTCTTTGTTGAGGCTTTATAAAGCCGGCGTTTGAGCCGTCAGGGCTTTTATCTTTTACCTTCTTTATAACTACTCCCAGGCTGGAAAGCAACAGGTTTGTTTTTGTCTGTTTGCAATTTTCTCTCTTAGCAGGATAGAAGAGGACAGCTTCTCAGCTTGCCTGAGCTACAACCTCTCCGGAGTTTGGCACAGAACAGCCTTCTTGTTTCAAGGGGCTCATTCTTACAGCTGTTGCAGTGAGCGGGCAGCCCTGAAAGGAGGGCCTCCTAGCTCCTGCCCCCCATTTCAGTGGGCCACAGCCTCTTCGGAGGCTGGCACGGAACAGCTCTCTTGGTTCAAGGGGCTTGCGCTTACAGCTGTTTGACCGCTCAGGAGTTAGGGCTCTGTACGCCCTGTCCCTAGGAGAAGGGCCTCCTGTTGCCTCGGTCACCTTCCCTGACTGTCAGTGATTCCTCCTGACATGGGAAGCGCCTCTGTGTGTGAGTGCCACACACTAACCCTCCTTCGTGCGCCTGCTCATGTAGCTGCGACTTCTGGAGGGAGCTGCACACCGAGGCTGTAGAGGTGCCAGCGACATATGGTAAGGCTTGGGTTTCTCTTTGGGGATACAATGGGCTCCTTCAGTTCCTGTGGCTAGCCCTGCATGTCAGTGCTTTGCCCGTCTGGGGTAACGCTCTTGGGTGTTTGGTATATTGGGCCTGATTTATCAGAGGGCTCGTTCACGTGGCTGCTATTTCCAAAACCAGGTGCTGAGGCAAAAGCTTTCTGGCAGCATTTGACCGCCCTAGTTTGCCTTTGAAAGGGGGGGCCCTGCAACTCCCACCACTAGCCCTGCTAGTCGGTGATATTTCTGCCTGGGGTAGCACCTGCTGGTGGCTGTTAATTTGGCACAAAACAGCCTTCTTTATCAATGGGCTGGCTCACAAAGTAGCCTGCAGCCCTGTTTCAGCTGCCAGTGCCCATATAGGCTCATAAGGAAAGGACTCACAAGGGTCTACCCGAGAACCCTGTCGCTGTCAGGTAAGCCTGGATAATTTTCCTCAGGTAGGTCCTATCTCACTGACAAGGTTGTGTAGAACCAGTCCCTTTTGTTTGGGATAGGAGCAATGAGCTCTCGGCCACCATCACCATCCCACTCTACCTGGCATCATCTTTTCCACAGTTCCTTGTTCTGAGGAGGAAGGGTTACCTGAGAGGGAGCAGCTGACTACACAGGCTTACTGTTTGGTCTGTTGCAGGGATGGCTTGTTTGCTCCTAAATATGACGATCAGATGACATACTTGCTGAAGAAAATCAGCCCACCCTCAGAGTAGTCCTACCTGCACCTTTCTGGGTCCTGTTTGGGGCTTCTACTTTTTTGGTATGGCTACGTTCACCTTCTTTTGGTTGATTTCCAGTGTGTCTGATCACTGGAAACAAACCAAAAGCAAGTCTTCCTCTCAGTTGCCTATATTGTGAAGGGGTTTAAGAAGAGAGCTACTTTAGAATATTGGCAAATTAAACATTTTGTCAATTCTATGGAGGGTCTGAGGAAATGAATTTTTAAAAGTATATTAGGCCAGTGCATATGCGCTGCATCACTTTAAAAAATTAAGCTAGATGAAAGCAGAAGGAATCAGAAAAGGACAATAAGGGAGGTTTTTTTGTTTGCTTTTCTCCACTGGAACAGAAAATGAAACAAAAAGTAGCCTCATTGCCTCCCTCTGCTTTCGGGAGGAAGTTTCCCATTTAGCTTTTTTTAAAAAAGTTATGTAGCACCACGCTTTGCCCTAATACACTTTGAAAAAGATTACTTCCTTAGCCTCTCCATAGAGTGAAGTGTTTAATTTGCCAGTATCCTGAAGTGAGTCTCTTCTTGAGCCACTTCACGATATTGGCAAATTGACAGTGGGCCAAATAGGATCACTTGAGGATCACACCAAATGGTGTATCAGGCCTCCTAGCAACCCTATTTAGCTCCATCCAGCCCATTTCAAAACAGGTGTGTAGACAAGCCCTGAGGCATTGAGAGGGAAACTCTGGTGGCTGCAGAAGGGAGGCTGCGGCAGCAGTGGGAGAGGTGCAGAACACCTACTGGCCTCCCATCTTAGATGGCAGGACATCTTCTGATTCTTTTAGTTGGTGGTTACTTCTAAAGTCCTGTATGTACAGGAAGGATTGTCTTTTTCTATGCCAACCTGTCATGCACTGAACTTATATTTGAAGTCTCTGCTCCAAGATCTTCCAACATCTGAGGTAAGTCTGGTAGCAACCAGAGAACCTTCTCCCTTCTGGCAACCCATTTGTGAACGCAACCATCTGCCAGATTCAAATATATAGGTTTCCAGCCCGATGAAGACTTAGAGCGGTAGTTCTCAAACTTGGGTCCCTGGATGTTATTGGACTTCAACTCCCAAAAACCCTGGACAGCACAGCAAATGTAAAGGCTTCTGGGAATTGTGGTCCAAGAACATCTGAGGACCCCAGTTTGAGAACCACTGGACTAGAGTAGGTCCAAAGCTAGCATTTTCACAATTTCTTTATTGTTAAAGATCTAATAAAGGTATCGCCTGCCCTTGCTCTTGTAGTGCATAAGAACCACATGGCTTTGTTTCTTTTTTTCATGTTTTAAGTGTACTTTTTC